CCCCAAAACCCCAAAACCCCAAAACCCCAAAACCCCGAAATGAAAAATATTTTGCAAAATCAATGAAATATTATAAAATAGTTTTAAATGAGTTAGCGACTAAATTAAAGATCAGCAATAAAAGCACTATAACCTCCAAGTGATATTAGAGTGTCTTCATAGAGTAAACGTAAATCAACATAATTATCAATAAAAGAGTAAATTGAAAGAGAATTTCAAGTCTACAAACAAAATCTGCAGACTAAAATAGACGCTGCAAGTAGAGATGACAAGGAATAAATATTTTCTTGTAAGGATTTCGTAAAAACTCTACATAAAAAAGACAGCCTTGACTACAATCACATTCTTTTGTACAAATCAATTCAGCCCTTTCCATTAAGAGAAAGCATTGAGAAATTAAAGATAAGAGATGCAAGTAAAATTCCAGACCCTCCATAGGCCAAATAAGTAGATGTAATGAAACTTAATAACATCAGAGAATACTTGAGTAAGAACTAAGAATAAGCTTTCTAGCACCAACTGAAAGACATTAATTCATAAAAGGGCTATTCCGTCAAAAACTTTGGAGTAGGTGGATCTGATCTCAAAGAGCTAGTCAAAACAGACTATTTAAACAATCTTAAAGAGAGGATGAAGACAGGTAGTGCTGCTAGTGGCACAGGAAGATAAATACAGGGTTCTACTGCATTGACTGACAGACTTAATAGGTAGTCCACTCAAGCCTAGTTCTTACAAGATAGAGTTGGAGACTATGATGAAATAATTTACGATTCTGTTGATTTTCATAAGTAAAATACTTTTGACATTCATGGAGCAGGCAAAAATAACTACTCTTAGTTTCAAGAGAACCTAGCAAGATAAAAAGCAAAAGAAATTGCTTTGGAAGAATTAAGAAATAAGCTAGCATAATAAAAAGATAGTCCGAAAAAGCTTAGTGACATAGAAAAAAAAGCAGAATAGCAACCTTTATACTTCTTCAGAAATTAAAAACCAACAAGCATATTTTAAAGTAAAAGTAGAGTTAACATTTCAAATAAACCTCATACTTAGATGCATAGTAGATCTAATAGTAGATCTAGTTCAAAATAATAAGTCTAAACTATGAATAAATAGATTTATTAAAGTCAAACTTAGTTAAGCCGAACACTCTAGAGTTAAACACCGTTTCTTAAAAATATGAAGAGCATAGAGCCACTAGCAGCTAGGACTGCATCACAAGCTGTAATTAAAATAGAGAGTAATAGAATAAATTTGTTTTCAAGCCCCAATGACTATATCTCTTAAAATTACCGTCATCCTCAAAAAAATTTTCTACTTAAGGATGATGGCTATAACTAGTCCACTCCATTAAGCCCAGTTATGTCTCCACTTCGAAAATAGATTAATAGTATCAACACTGCTCTAAGTTTGAATGATTAAAACAGAGTAAAGCATAAGAAATTCAATGATAATGTTCAGCTTAAACCCAATTCAATTCCAATATTTACTCTTACAGGAGCTGATTTAAATAGCAATAAGAGCAATCATATTAATTCACATAGAACTTTGAAACCACTTAACAGCGGTGAAGAATTTTAGGACTATACCTCCCCAGATAATTTCGGTAAAAAGCACTAAAAATTGAGAAATCAGACAAAGTATCAAACAAGATCCAGTTCAAAGCACCAAAACAGTTTTAATAAGAAAAATAATTATAGCCATAGTAAAAACAACAATTCTATGAATTCATCTTAGTCTAGATAATCTTATCATGATAATATGCTACTTTAAGACTTATTAGAGAACTGTGATAGCACAACGAAGAAACTTAAAAGGGAAAGAACCAAGATTACCAAGAATAAGAAATAGGTCAGGCAAATATTTAATCAGTTCAAGAATCGTATTAGATTTAACTTGTAAGTTAACAAGCAAGAATCTTTACCTGAGGATATGCTGGAAATAAAAAATTTTAGGCATGAAAGCCAGAAAGTTGAAGAGTAGAAAAAATAACTTTAAGAAATCTAGCATTTAGAAGAAATGGCCTCGAAATATCATAATTGGAAACAGAAATTAGAGCTTAAACTGAAATAAAAAGAGGAAGAGTCTATTAAGGAGACAAAATAATTTCTTGATAACTATAAGCTATAGAAGGGCATAGAAAAAGCTGATAAAATTCCAGCAAGAATAAAATCAAAAAAACTGAATGCCATTCTAGAGGATAAAAGCTTAATTGAAATATATAATAACTTTGAGCTGTAATATCTCAGTCATACTAAGAGGGTTAGAGAGGAAAATAGTAATAGGAAAAAAGAAGTAAATAATTATGGAAAGCTCGCATCTGAAGGAGATTGAAATTTCTTAATCTAATTTATAACTCCTGGTAGCTATTCCTTTCTAAAGTTTAATAGTGTTGTTAATTTATAAATTTAAGCTTTTATGTTTAATGAAAATTATAATGAATTTGAATTTAGATTTAAGTTCCTTTATAAATTTTAAAATCAAAATGAAAACCTAATAGTCGCTTCTAAAGTTAATTATACTGTTTACAATCTCTCTTGTTACAAATAGAGTGAGTGCAGACACTTGCAACTTAATTGAACTATCAACTAAGGATATTGGATCTGGCATTTAAAGTGATATAATTAACTAGGGGAAAATTCAGAAATCATATGATTAAAGAATCACAGAAAAGTTTGATCTATCTTACGTGCCATATGAGATAAATTAGCAAACTCTTTATCTACAGACTACAAATTTACTTTAGTCAGTATCAGCACGGTCATCTGACAATAGATTGAGAGCATTTGCAACTATGAAGGATGATAAATCTAATGATGCTAATGTTTAATCTATAAAAATAGATCTTAAATATGAGTGTGGAAGCAGTATCCAAGGAGTACCTATTGTTACTATTTCTCTGTAATTCGATGGATGTCCTAATATGATTTTGAGCTGGCAAAAGAGCTGTGGGAATGATAAAATTGGTAAATAGTTTAATCTTTAAGACATTTAGAACCTATGACTGGAATGGTAATATAAGAAAATAATTCTCTTTTATCAAGGCCTTTATTATATAAAGATGGGGTTTTAAGGGAGAACAATATTGTTATTTCTTCTAACATGGACAAAATGTATCTGAAATTAGAAACTCAGGACCATTAAGTGGTAACACCATTATTTATTAATTGGTTTATAGTACTAACTTGATCCCCCATATATAAAAAATTTGTTTTAAGCACAATCAATAATGTATCCAGTTATAAAAGGTAATGCTGGCTGGGGTGGAGAGATATCAAAACGTTCTATTAAACATCTTCTGATAGAGTTTAATTGTCTTGGTATTGAAGGAACTTAAGATATCACCCTTATTATACCTTCATAGTTCAATGACTATTAAGATATAGAAGTGATTTTTAGAAAGCAATGTTCAAGATGTAAGGGATTATGTTTAATAATAAAATCATTAGATTCAATATTCCATGCTCTAAAACAAGACTTAAAAGAGTCAGTAGCTTTCGATATTATATTCATCTTATTTTTGTAAGCAGTATTGTGATAATTGAATTATAGGCTATTGGTTGTGGGCAGTGGATTTTTCTGTCTTGTGATCTTTAGTAAGGCATTTCAAGATAGAGGAATTAGTATGCATCCAGACTATTAAACATAAATTAACAAGGCCTCACATTCAGTCAAGAAAAATTTCAATAAGTTCACCAGATTTGTAAATCATCTTATTGATAGCAGAAAGCTAAGCTACAAAAATCTTTCTTAGCATGATAACTCAAGTTTTTAAAATGAGACAAGAAAGAACACAGCACTCAATTCTAGTTCTAATTTTGATGGTATTCTGACTAATGCTTTTGATGATGAGATCCAAATAGATTTAAATGCTAAGTAAGAACCAATTTATGATAACAAAAGTGAAAGTGATTACGGTGGTCTTTGATTAACTTAAAGATTAAATGCTTAAATGATTTAAACGACTTAATTTCATAAATCTAATAATTAAATTGCTAAAATTACAACTTTTAATAATATATCAATCAATTGCTCTAATAACTCATTCATCGATTTCTCAAATCCATGTTTATGCTTAAGTATCATCTAATTAATGCAAGAAAATAGAAATTTTAGCTCTTTGTTTAGCAAAGAGCATTTATTTAAAAACTTATTAGTGCAAGTCAGAATCATTGTAAAAACTTGCAAATAATCCATGATGCACATATTCCATTATTAGTCTGATATCTTTAGCTAGTTAGTAAAATAGTTCATTAATTTCTCTTGAATCGTCTAATGAGAATAAACTTTGGTAAAGCTTAAGAAACTGATTTATTTTCTTTTTATTTCTAAAAATTTATTAATAATCTAACTTTTGGTCAGTTGTCATTAAACGAAATAGTCCTATATCAATCCAACACCAACTAGATTAATTTCCAATATTAATGATCTTGAAGAATCTTTTCATCTTAAATGGGATTACCTTGCTGGACTAATCTTAAATCTTACAACTCTCCAAATTATTGTAAACAGGCTTGATATGAGGTCTAAAAATGAAATCTAATATATCGTTGAGCACCTCATATTACTTCCTGAGACCATTATCCATTTGATACTCCAAGAAGTTATAGCGAGCATACTTCATATTTATATTCTGTGTGAATTAATCTAGCTTTACTTGCCAAGTGATCAGCTATTATTGAAATTCCTCCTTTAATGATGTTATTCTTGGGGATCTTTCATTGAGATTTGGGTAGTTCTTGAAATAATTCTTATTTTTCTTTATTTCAAGGATCTAAATGACTACCTTATTCCACTAGGGACTGACCAGCCTCATTTTAAGACACTATGGAGTGAAGTCTTCTGAAAGATCAACTAAATATCTGTGAATCATCATCCAAAGATTATTCGAAACCCCTTCATGTGATCTCTGCCTCACCATAGTGGGCAATTAGAATTCAACCATTAATATAATAAAACTTGATAGAATGCTCAAAATTGATTTATCACTTCACTTTAGAGATTTGATTTTATCCTTATGGGGTTTTGGGGTTTTGGGGTTTTGGGGTTTTGGGG